TGATCCTGTCACCATTCTCATGGTGCAGAAAGCATCGGAGGTCTGTTTGGACTGGTTCTGGTCTTCTGTTGTCTCTGGGACCAGCTGTTGATGCTGTGTACAGACAGAGATCGTGGGTGGTTTCGGATTCCCCTGGAGATGTTCAATGGACGTGTCTCGGGTTGGCTGCGGCTGAATCGGTCGCTGATTATTTGGCCGTGTCTGGGTTTGTGGGGTCTCGTTCGGGGCGATCTCAACTGTTGAATCGTAAAATATGTGTCTTGGCCGCGATGAGGTCTTGGTGGTGGCCGTGTTGGTTTTGTCCACGTCTCGGACGCCAGCTGTGACCGAATTGAACCGCGTTGGCTGAAATTGCTTGGCCTGGGTGTGAGGATTGTGAACTCTGTCTTGGCCGCGATCGCGAGATGACCATCGCGGCCGATTGTGTTTGGCTCGGCTCTCCGGGTAGAATCTGTTTCCTGACATCTCTGTCGGGACTCCTGCGAGCTCACTGACAGCAGCGCTGAAAATGACGGAGCGGAAGGGGCACAGGGTCACAGCTGCAGAGACCAGAGGGAGATAAAGAAAGCGCATGTGTGTGAGAGAGACACAAAGAAAACGCAAGAGAGCGAACAGGGTGAGAACAGAGAGAGAAAGACTGTGTGTTTGTCAAAGATAAAGACAGAGAGAGAGAGAGGGGAAGAAAGAGATTTTGTGGTGGGACTGAGAGTTTCGAGGGGGGTCCGGGGCAGTGTTAGCCATGATCTCAGACAGCGTGAGTCTGTCAGTCACAAACCGGCACACACAGACCCCCAAACAACAAACTCCAGACATGAGACCCTTTTATTCATGAGTTAATGTTCATTCATTCATAAACATTCTGAATTAAGGGTAAAAGGCAGCCTGTTGTGGCAGAGCAGAGGACGATGAAGAGGACTGTTGTCCTTTTGAACACACATTTTCTGTCACACATAGAGACAGGATGCACTGCTGTCAATCAAATCAAAATTGAAATCGCGAAAGGCCAAGTGCAATAATTAAACCTCAAAAGGGGTGTGATTTAATTCAATAAATATATCGCCTACATGCAAAAAACAAAACAACAAACAACAAAAATAACTGTGTGAGCTGAGAGATGAACAAATAAAAGTGGATTTCACTTTTAGACCCCTTTGAAGGTCAAGTACAATATTAACTAAAATTAAAATAACAGAATAAATAAATATAAAATAATTATAGTCTGACATCCAACAAAATATACAATTTAGCTGTGTGTGGATCAAAAAAAGATTTTACTTTCAGTCCACTTTGAAGGTCATGTAAAATATAAATGCAAAATTGGGCCCTTTTTCATGAAGTTTACATTTAAAATAATAATGACTATCAAGCAGTTAATTTACATGTAAAATTGTAGCAGTAATAAACATTGCGGTATATATAAAACAAAGCAAAACAAAACATGGCAAGAGAGCACGGTGACCAACTCAGACTGCTCTTTTATGGCTCAGAGACTTTAAGCTATATTTCATATACTAAACGCTTATATGAAACATAGCTTAAACAAACATACCTTTGTTTCAAATATTTCTCAGAATGTCTTAAATAGTCATAAATGAGACAACTGCTAACATACAGGAAGAGTAGAGCGATAGAAAATGATTTTTATAGCAGCTAGGAAGAGTTCATATTGAGAGCTATGACTTTTTATGGACTAAAGTATCATGGCAACATCATTTCAGATAGTGTTGAGAAGTATTTTGAGGGAATTAATATATATATTAGGGCTGTCAAACGATTAATATCATGGCAACATCATTTTAGATAGTGACGTGTTGAGAAGTATTTTGAGGGAATCAATATATATTTAAATATATATATATATATATTAGGGCTGCCAAACGATTAATCGCATCCAAAATTAAAGTTTGTGTTTACATAATATATGTGGGTGCACTGTGTATAATTATTTAATATATATATATATATATACACACACACATGCATGTATATTTAAGAAAAAAATATTATTTGTATATAAAATATTTATATTTATATATGATATAAATTATATATAAATCTATTTACAGTATATACATGAAACTATTTCTATACAAGTATTTATATTGTAATTATACACAGTGCACCCACATATATTATGTAAACAAACTTTTATTTCGGATGCGATTAATCGTTTGACAGCCCTAATATATATATATATATATATATATATAATTCATAATGAGCTCAAATGATCTGATCTGCAATCCACATTGATTCTATATATATATATATATATATATAATGTTGTTCTTGTAGAAATTTTCGAAGAAACATCTGAGACAAATTGTTCATACAGTACCTTTACAAAACATCACCAAGATCTTAATTTAGTCTCCTAAGCTATGAAAGACAAACCTCTGAGCAAAACAACCTTCCTCTATAGGAACACACATATACAAGGGCATTCAGAAGAGAAGGGTTTAATAACCATTAACTCATTAGCAAAATGAAGTAAAAAAAGGTCAGTTTTGTCTCAGTACTCCTAAAACACCTTTTCCGAAAAGCCTGAACCAGCTTCTTTGGCCCATACACACACACACACACACACACACACACACACACATCAACTCTAGATTTACGATCAGAGATGACAGCAGAGCTGTCTCCCATCGCCAGGGGCAAAGGGCTGATCCTCAAACCCCCTCTGAAACCATCTTCCAGGTGCAGACTTCCCTCACACACACACACACACACTCTCTCACAGAGAGAGAGAAAGAAAGTCATTTGTAGGATGTCAGCCAGTGCTAATTTTTGAGTGGGTAATGAACCTACCCATCCGCTTTATATGAAGAATCTGTTTCCTTTCAACACTACTTTGATTTGCTTTCGAAGTTCCTCGCGGCTGATTTATTGGCCACAGGTGAGTTTGTCTGTGTGTGTGTGAAAACCTTTTCAAGTTATTTCTCTAAAGGATGACCGATTATAACTCATCCAAACATTAAACACACACCTGTGCAGATAATGTCCTGACACAAAGCAAGTCGATTTCCTGAATTTGTCAATGAGGTGATGTTTGCAGTGTCAATGAACGTGCATTGGCGCACAAAGAGAAAAATACACAGTATTCAATCACTGTGAGTGTGCGAGTTGTTTGTGGTCGTACCTGTGCAGGTGTGAGAGTGACAGACAGATCTGCACAAGAGCCCGTCAGCACCTCTGCCTTTCTCCCACAATCCCTCATTCACAAACAAGACTTGACATGGGAGACGTGGAGGGGTGTGTGAAGGCTTTTTGTCTGTGTGTGTTTTGTTTGCACTTGTGTGTGTGTGTGTATTAATCACTAAATGAATGTGATGGAACAATGGAACAGTGTGAGGAGCTCAAAAGATGCCAAGCCCTTCACTGGCAACTAACATGAGCTCACCAAAAACACATCATAACAATATAACATAATATAATAATTGGGTTTCACTTTCATAATTGGTCCTTTTAACACGTTCTGTTGACTTTAAGTAAGTTGCACCTACATGTCTACTAACTCTCATTAGAGAGGGTTAGAGTTAGAGGAAGTTGACATGCAGTTGCAAAAGTTAAAAGAATTACTTGCAAAAGTTATAGTAACAGAATGTTCATCAAAATAAAGTGTTACCAATACTTGAAATGTATTTGTTTGCACAGAGTTTTTGTGCATTTTAAGATACATCATTCTTCCTGGAGATTACAACAATCTAAGTGAACAAAATAATAATACAGATTTTGAGTTTTTTATTTCGTCTTATTGGCTCTTGAATGGTTTAATAGCGCTTTAATGAATGATCCTGATGTAACGCTATAAAAAAAGCTGTGCTAATTGCATTAAATATTTGTAAGGCATAAAACTGAAAAAAATGATTGCATGTATTGACTTAAAGGAGTAGTTCACTTAAAAAAAAATAAACTTTTGCTGATAATTTACTCACCCCCATGTCTTCCAAGATGTCCATGTCATTTTTTCTTCAGTCGAAAAGAAATGAATGTTTTTGATGAAAACATTCCAGGATTTTTCTCCATACAATGGACTTCAATGGGAACCAAATGGATCAAGGTCCAAAAGACAGTTTCAGTGCAAAATGTTCAAAGGGCTTTAAACGACACCAGACGATGAATGAAGGTCTTATCTATAGCGAAACGATCGCTCATTTAAAAAAACAAACAAAAGAAAAAACAAAGTTTAAGTTTTATAAGCTCAAATGGTCGCCTTGCTCTGTTCTGTGATGCGCATTCGTGACTCTCCTGTTCAAACTCGTTCATCAAAATGAATGAATCTTTTCCCGAGTCAACTTGTCATTTCGTTCGTTGAATGAACCAAATGACACGAAAAAGATTCGTTCAGTTTGATAAACAAGTTCAAACAGGAGTGTCACGAACGCGCATCACAGATCAGAGCAAGGTGACCATTTGAGCTTATAAAACTTAAACTTTTTTTTTTTTTTTTTAAATGAGCAATCGTTTCGCTTGAAAAGACCCTTATTCATCATCTGGAATCATTTAAAGCCCTTTGAACAGTTTGCACTAAAAGTGTCTTTTGGACCTTGAACCGTTTGGTTCCCATTGAAGTCCATTACATGGAGAAAATCCTGGAATGTTTTCATCAAAAACCTTAATTTCTTTTCGACTGAAGAAAGAATGACATGGATATCTTGGATGACATGGGGGAGAGTAAATTATCAGCAAAAGTTTTTTTAAAAGCGAACTACTCCTTTAACAAAATAATTTTTACAGCCCTAATAAATATAATTATGTATAATATATTATTAATAATTTATCTAAATACGTTATATTAAAGTTATTATAAAATTATATTTCTGTATAATTTTTAAAACAATTTAAAATAAAATCTAAATATTAGTTTAAATATTAAAATATATTGTTAAATATAAAAAAAGTTTATTTAAATAGCATTTGTTACTTTACCCAATATTGTATGCTATGTATTTTTACACTTATTAAAGAATCACATTTTGCTCCGTCTGTCTTTACAGTTTCTGCGTGTGGAGCAGGATAAAGAATGCAATACGGATTGTTCCGGGGCTCCTCGCAAGCCGCTGTGCGCATCGGACGGACGGACCTTCAGTTCCCGCTGCGAGTTTCTCCGCGCAAAGTGCCGCGACCCTCAGCTGGAGGTCATCCGAGGCCAATGCAAAGGTTAGAGTTCACCAATCATGCTCGAGCTGCTGCTGGTTGGCCTGATACCCTTTGTGGGCCAGGGTCGAGGCGAGCAGGGTTAAATCCATCAAGGGATAAATGATTCTTTGACGAGACAGAGTGGGATTTTATAGAGTACAACACATTATCCTCTATGATCTTTCGAATTGCACTTTTAAAAGGCGTTCACACTAACAGCGACTTTTAACAACAAAGCTACCTGAACCGAGGCGACACGATTGATGCAGACCTCTCCTTATTTCACGTATCAGAGCATCCTAAATTAGAAAAAAAAAGTTTGTTTAAAATCAAATTTATAATATAATCATAATATAAAATGTCCATTAAAAATGTTTTAACTTACATTTCATGATGCAACCAAGGCCACATAACATTCACTATTCAATCAAAACCGGATGGATAAAAGCAAGTTAGACGGTGTATTCATTTCCTGTTGATTGCACATGCCAGGTTATGTTGTCTCTAAAATCACTATATTCGAACTGGGAATTTAATAGGAAATATATAGCAGTATTTATGACCGGCCAATTTGAACTAAATACAAAATGTGTGCTTTTCGACAACTTTGAAACGTGAAGATCTTGATGGGGATCTTGTCCATGTAAAAATAAATGTACAGTGGTGCATTCATATATGTGGAAGATCGGTGGTCATGTGTATGAGAGACTGACAAAACACTGTCAGTACCCACAGAGGTCAAAGGTCAGCTAGCTCTCAAACACTCTCATTGTATTAGGCTCGGCCGGAAGACTCTCGTGCCCTTTATCTTTTCTTTTTCTTTCTCTCTGTCTCCCGTTCACTCTTTCTTTCCCTACTAGTAAGCACAATGTGTCATTACATTGGGATTAAAAAGGGTGTACGTGAGAGAGAGAGAGAGGGGAAAATTAAATTCCACTAAAAAGAGAGTGAATGAAAACGATTTGATTGGAAAAAGAAGTTATATATGTATAATACATGTTAAATGCATAAATAATAATTGTTCCAAGGCATAAAAATACAGCTTTTGAAGCTTTTCGTTTGCTCTGACCTATTTTTACTTTTTTCCACTCTGGAAACACTCAGCGATCAGCGTCCATCCTCTTTTAGTTAACATATTTACTTAACACATTTTCCAGCATCCATCCATTTCTATAAGCAAATGCCATTATACTCTAATAAGCAATAAAATACATAATACACACAAATATTGCATAAAATAACCAAGTTTAAATAGACTGAACTATATTTTAGTTAATGGATACAGTATCCACAATCCACATATATTTCTAGGCTGGCATTTAAATTACTTGCAAAGCATTCTGGGATTGCCTTACTCACCTTTTTTTAATGCCTTCCTTTTCGCCCTCTCATGCCATCCCAGACAGAACGTGCTTTAATTATTTTCCCAATGGAGACTATGAAATTACATACACACACATTCACAGATACTTTACCACCTGCTGGACACTATCACCTCACACAGACTCAACACAGAGATATTCCTGATCCTTTCACCACTGGACTGGCATAGAGATACTGATGACTCCAGAAGGACTGTTGATCCAGTTCCCAACCACACACACGGATCCAACACTACCGAAACATCTTGAATTATTCCGTATTCTAAGAGGTCACATGTCACTGCAAAAGAAACCAAGTCTTATGTTTCCTGCTTCATTTTCTTTCGCCATTTCCATTCTTTCCTTTTCCTTCAAAAAAATAAAATAAAAAACACCAGTGCCACATCAGTCAGAGAGAGAGGACGCCGGGGGACTCGCCTGTCGGATTGAATTTAATGCACTCACACTCTGTGGACTTTCTGTTTTCTGTATTACACTGACACGATGAGCTGAATAGTGACCGTGTGTTTAAAGTGGAATGATGGGAAATAAAGGTTACGGTTATATATAGAAAAGAGGATGGAGAGAGTTTGTGAACAAATGAATCATCAAGTTTATAGTACTTTTCAAGGTCTCAAAAAGCAGTCCTGCATTTTTAAATTGGCTCAAGTAGAAGTCCTGAATGATGATGATTGTATGAAAGTGGATAGGAAGAATTTTCCATTTACAAAAAATTACGGAAACACTTTATTTGACAGTGTCCTTATTCCAAGTTAAATATAGTTAATAACCATAATAATACTAATATAATAATAATAAAAGTATAACTATAAATTATGCATAGTTACATGCAATTAACCCTAGAGTAAGTACATGTAGTTAATTACTATTACTCAGTACTTAAATGTGTAATTACACTGTAGCACAGACATCTTAAAATAAAGTGAAACCATTTGAGACCAAATTCAGAAATTCATTTTTTTTTTACTTACAAGAA